AGTCACTTTTCAAAGTAAAATTAGTCTGAAACTCAAGCCATGTAAAGAGGCTATTTACCTTTTCAAACAGTAATTCAAGTCGTGCCAATCAAATAAAATGGTGAAATTTTCTACTCTCAAATGGATGAAGTCAAGGTGTTAGCCCATCTTTTTTAAATCTACAAATTTAGCCAACCATGTGTGATAGCTGTTCCCTGTAAATTTTACACTTGACAACGAGGAGTACAGAATATCAACTTTTATCAACCCCTTAGCATGGACCCTGCCTCTTCATCCACCAACTCTACCATAAACCATATCCTACACCATTGGTATATACTATCTTGATATACGGCGGCAGGACTGGCATGAAGGAGAATCAAACTCCATCACAGAAGCAATAATTTAGGATATAGCCATAAAGTTGCACAGATATGGAAATCGCAACCTGTGCTTACATAGTAGGAGGCTAAAGTTCAAACAGCGGGATCAAAGGCATTCTGTAAGTCAATGAACCCCTTTTTAAATGGCACTTATAATTACCTGTCTCTCAGTTGCATCCAAGTATCAAGGGATTTTGTCTTGGCACATTATTTGCAAAGGCGCCTTTGATCATAGACATTTGGTGGGTAAATTTGACGCCATGGAATTTGCACTGCATCGGAGTTTTTGGTAGATAATTTACCTGGCTGTCTTTCTATTTTGGCCTTCTACCTCATCAGTCCAAGCGTCTAAAAAGGTACGTTAATTCGTTTATTTGTCTTTTCACCCCAGAGTTATTAACATATCGATACCTACTTCAGTCTTCAAACTTGAAACACTCCTTTCTGCTCTCAAATCTTTTAACCCTTATACATCACTTCGAAGTGAGCTCCATTAAGAGAGAGCATTACGGGGTCATTATACAGCAGCACACCCTCCGTGTCAGGTTGCCCAATTTATTGTGCCTCTTAGCTGTTTGTTAAGAGTCCATCTACCACCTTCTTTTTGTACCTTAGGGAATGTGGCTGTTTTTATCTGCCTTCGTGTTGAAGACCAGATTTAGATGATGCTCCACAAATTCGAACATTCAGAATGGGTCGCGAAAGTACTTTAACCTCTGCAAGGTGTAATTCTGGTCTGGATGCGTCCTATGGGCAGTATTAATAGTGTTTCGAATTTGCCGCACCTTATCTATACAGGGGCTGCCCTGAAAGTGACAATCTGCGAAAATCGTTGAAAATCAACTCTTGCTGTGTCCTATATTCTCATCCCTTACATTTCTCTGTAGGATTTTTAAATTAATTTATTTATCAACTTCCTGATTCTAATTACAAAACGGTTTTAAGGGCAATGTAAAGAGGCTTTACAAAGTGTTAATAAAAATCCTCATGGTCATTCTGTACCGTAAAGACAGAAATGTGAAAGTCAGTGCAGCTTTCTTTGCTCAAGCATCAGATACTGTCGCCAGGCCTTAAACCTAGAGGGATATTTATTCGCCTAGGCGGATTAACAGGATTCATTCAGTCTGCGCGATCTAGCGAAATGCATGATCTGGAAGCTTTTGTAAGCAATTTGGTCTCATTTAACTCCTACCCTTATATGACTTTCTCAGGAGGTACCACCATATGCAGGGCGACATGCGAGTGTTTCCAACATGGGCAGTCTTGCAATGTCCCAATGACCGACGTAATTTCTGCCACTATCCAGGATGCAGAGACAAGCACCTCCATAATTCTCACTGATTAATTATTCCTTATGCAGCAGTAAAGTCAACATGCTTATCAAAACACCGAATAAACAAAGAAAATGCTCCATTCTGCTCAGGAGGCGACAATGACAATGAGGGCGTAAAAAAGGAAATAAATGTAAAGAAAAACTTTCCAAATTTACAGTTGTCCACTTTTAATTATGAGCGCAAAAAACAAAAAGTTGCAGCGTGAAAAAATAGGCGCAGTTTTAACTCCCCAGATTCTGATTTATTCAGGTAAAAATATCAAAATCCCTGCCTAATTTGAAATTTATCTATTACAATGAAATTTTTGCTGTGAAATGAAAGTTATGAGTCAAGTTTTCACTCTGTAAACTGCTGCAAAATCCGTAAGTACAGGTAGTATGTCAGGGGATAGGTAGATGACTACCTCAGACCACCCATCTACCCACTAACAAATTACCATAACCTCTTCCAGAAACTATTCTCTCCATCCACCCAAAGTCATTTCTATCCACCTTCATTAACATTTTGTGTCCATCATTGCTATCAATTAGTAGGGATGGCATGCTTTGCATTCAGCACGTCACTTCTGAATACTTCAGACGATGACTCTACAGAAGGGAGCTTTATGCTACCGACACATGTAAATATGGAAGAAACACTACATTTCAGCCTACTCTACTGCACTGTAACTCGTTGACTTCCAAGCCAGAAGTGGTATAATAAGATGCTCCTACCTAAACGACAGATACACATCCTTAACTTATCTTCACCATTTTTAATGAAAAAAACTAGAATTTTAGAGGAAAGTAGCCCACATTTCGTAAAAGTGTGTGCTTTGGGATCAAAGTAGGGTAACTTCGCTTTGCATTAGATCTCGTCTTGCTAGAATTTCAGCAAAATCAGGTGATAAATGGAGACGCTCATCTGGATCCAAAAATACATTAAACTTTTTAAAAACGTTGTCTACCTTTTTCGAGTTTCACTTAAGGCATTCATCAGATAGGAGGAGGATACAATTAAGCGTTTTTTAAAAGGAAATTTGCGTAATATTCGCGCTCTATTTGAAGCATGTTTAAGGCTCATCATTTAACTTCCAACCCAAGTCGAAAGTCAAGAGTGGTATTTCTTGAAAGTTAAAGATATTATAAGCAATATTTTGATAAGTCTTATGTTAGTTCTCTAACAAATTCCCTTTTAAAACAAAGCAGGGATATAATGCCCTTAGGCTCAGCTCACTTAGAATCCGATGAATTGATAAATGTCGAAAGTTCTCTAAAATTCCATTTTAGAGGAAAACTGTCAATCCTATCGCCAAGAAGTACAGATTTCAAAAAAGTAAATTTGTGTTCACTAAGATTACCCACTTATGGCTGTATTTCCGTAAAAGTTTTAGCAATAGACAATTGCTGTGCGTTAGATGACAATCTTTCTTTATTACGCATCACGCTTCAGAGCCTCATGTTAGTGTAGTATGCTCAGTCCATGCATTATGCATTCACACAACTTCATCAACTCACAACGGGTGGGCTGTTTTTCCTTCCTTCTAGCAGCTCTTCCAACCAAGTGGACTTAAAGTGCTCCAAATTGTTGCTATCCATTCTTAGCACAATTTTCCAGGGAACAGCTTCTCCCACTTAACTGGACACGTTATTGGAAGACGTTTCTCCTCTTGGGATGCTGCCATTCATTCCACATGCTAAATTAGTACTAAGAAGTGCTATTTGTGTGTATGCAGGAAAATGCAAGCTCTTATCGTGTCCCTTGGGTTGGTTTGTGGGTGAATGAGGGATGTGTGATTTATGAAAAATTTATCATCTAGCACTTTCTTAAAATAAATCAGGATGTCATATTTAAGATATGAGAGTGGCAAATGATTGCTGCTTTGATGTGTATTTTTGAACGATTTTAGGCATGGTAATCACAATTTTACATAATGCCGTCACTTGTAAGTCAAATT